AAGGGGATAAGAGAAAGGGGAGTGTCTTTGATGGGGACAGGTGAGACCAGGTGGTTTGTAAGGAAGCATCTACCACTGGAACCAGGGTAACAGTAGCTGGCTCAATTCCCAGGACTTCTTATTGGCTATGAGGCACATGAGTCCCGTGTCCATCCTGCTGATGGAAATGCATGCCTTGCTTGGCTTCAGACAGTCCTTTACCTTGGATTGCTCTCACCTCACTAGCTGTTTCCTCTCATTCATCTCTTGTGCTAATTCTTTTTTCTCTCTGATAGTTGGTATTAGGGCTGCCCTGTTCTTGATTCTCCTCTCACTTCTCATTTTTTTTCCCAACTCCACAGCCTCTTCATGTGTTTCCCATCCTCCATTTAAAACGATGAGATTCTCCACAGGTCTTACTTGGCCCAGGAGTGCCAGAGGTGCCCACTATGGAGCAACTGAAAAGATTTGGACAACTTCTAGATCATGGGGAATTTAGAGCCCTCCCCCTTCTAAGTTGTCTGTAAGCAGGAGAGTTAGGGAGTTAGGGAGTATGTGGGAGTCTTCTACCTGTGATTTCTCAAAGTATGCCTATCAAAGGCTCAGTCTCCAAAATGGCACTAACTGGGACATGGGAAAATAATAATAAGCAGGCCTACTAGGAGCTCTGTAGCTCTTTGCAGGCTTGCCCTTGAAAGGGATTGTGGGAATCGTATCTTCTCTTTCCCCTACTTCCTATCATGAGATGAGCAGTTTTGGTTGGTCATGACTTTTACAGTAAAGACCTACCTCACCATGGGGCCCAAAGCAATGCAGCTAATCACCACTCAGGAACCATGTATTCAAAATTAAATCAATTTGAAGTTGATTTTTCTCTTTCTCAGTTTTGTTGTCTTTCTCTACAGCTCAGGCTGTCTTGGCCTTCCAAGAAAGACCTGTAAGTACAGGGGTGTCCAGCTCAAGTGCTTCTTACAGTGATTTAAAAAAAAAAAAAAAAAAAAAAAAAAAAAAAAAAAAAAACTAAATAGCACAGGGCTGGTGGTGGTGGAGACTAATGTTGATGGCCAGTTTGAACTTAACAATGAGTATGTGGAGGGGGATGTTGGAATTGATTTGAATTAAGGAAAATGTTATTATGTGGCATTTCCTATGAGTCTGAGTTTATGAACATCGATCCATACGGCCACAGTTCTTAGCATTTGACTAATGGAAACATACAGATCAACAGGGCAAAACAAATGTGGTTGTGTTTCAGCGGGCCAGGTTCTGAGGCTGGGAAGCAAGGGTGCAGGGAACTGCTGCCTAGACTTTTCGTGCAGGCACGCTGTGCTCAGTTGCTGCTTGCTTCACAGCCTCCCCCAGGATTTCGTAACAAACCCTAATGTGCAGCACAGACGGTGCGCACTTCCTGTGTTCTCCCTCTGGGTGGAAGAAACGCTGCTAATGAGGCAGGGCTCTCAGCTTGGATTTGTTTGATGACCAGGAAAGCTGACTCTTCAGTCCTCGCCCTCCCTGTTTTGGCACAGACACACCTATTCTTTTTTCCCCCACTCTGCTTCTTTGAAGCAGGAACTGCCCACAGATCCCCATGTGGACCCAGAGACGCCAGGGCTTGTTAGGGTTGTGCATTCCCCTGTCTGTGCTTTAGGACTTGAGTGTGTGTGTGCCTGCTGGACTGTGGCATGTAGACCTTTGCTGAGTTTGGAAATCTGGCCTCCAGTGTGGAACAGGGACAGCCTGTTCAGTGAGGGGAAGAGTGCTGTTTTATTTCAGCCAAAAGAGAGGCAGGGGTGGAGGGAAATCTGCTGCTTGCCTACTTGGCTATTAGTATTAAGGCATGAAATCTCTTTTTTTCCTCACATTTTTAAAGGGTTAATGAGCTGAGAGTTTAAGGTTAAATATTTTTTTTTATTGTTAAAACAATGATGGCTTCATTAGTGACTTTCAGAACCCCTGTTTTATTCTCCAGAACTGTACAAATTACATTTTCCTTTTTACATCCATTCGTTTCAAGAGCTTGAAATGTTCTGAACAACATTTTGCAGGGATTAAAAAGAAATTATTAACAATCTTCAAAAGGGACTTTGGAGGTCCTGGGTTGAGTTCTTCAACTCTGTTTATCTTCAACAAATGAAAGTTTCAATCCACGTTCCTTTGAGACCCCTGGGGAGAGAAGAGATACCATCTCTTCTCTAAATATATCTGTGAGTTGATGATTATGGCAGAAAAGCATCCAGTCAGCACAAGTTTTCCCATCTATTTTATTTGCCTAACTTTCTATAGTTTGCTTTGCACTGTTACCAAATGAGTTGATCCTAATCTAAACTGAAAAGAAGACATAGGTGACTATTATTTTGGATCAGTGGGGAGAAATCAATAGATATTTCTTTTTCTGTATAAATAGAAATACTGAAGACATAATGGCATCGGCTAATGAAAAAAAAATCTTCTAAGTGTGTTAGTTGGAAATGGTTTAACAATAATTGCCATGGAATAAGAATACACTCAAATGTCCCAGACCAGTCATGGTGCTGGTGATGATCTTTGCCTAAACACCTTCCCATTCAGTTCTTCACTGAGTCTCTCCATCATGCTAAACTCATTTGTCTTTTCCTTTCTGGACCACATTGTCTAAGCCCTCCCATGGATCTCTGTGTCAAGCTGGAAACCAAAGCAGAAAACAAGGCTAGGGAAGACTAAGCATTGCCCTTTACAACACTGATCTCCTGAGCACCCATTTGCATATGCCAGGGACTGCACTGAGTTCTCAGGATGATAAAAATGCTTAAGATACAGACCCTGTTTTGTGCAGTCTCAGAGATTGCAGGTGACAGGCAGCTGAGCATGGCAATGGGCACATAGTCACTAATGAGTAAGAAGTTCTACCACAGAGTGCTATAAAGTGGGGATGTGGAAGATGTGAGGAGTGTGGGCCTATGTAGTACATCAAAGAAGGGAAATACTTGGATGGAAAGTAGATTCTTGGGCCAAGAGTGTAAAAGAATGTTGCAATTAGTAATAGGAGAGGATTGAATCCTAGCAGGTATCAAAAAGAGACAAAACATACCCAACGGGCTATATTATTTCAAGGAAACTGTAAGCATCTTAGAATGAGTGAATTAGAATGTCCATGTGGTATTGTGGGAAAAAGAAGTTAGGAAAGAAATGGCAATAATATGGAGGGTCCTTCACTTAGCAATGAAACAAGAAAGGGACTAAGTCCCACCAGGAAGGTCCTGTTATCATGAAAAGAATCTAAATGTCTAGCAGAAGTAAATCTGACTGACGATGAGAGCAAAAGTATCAATTATTTCCAACCAAAATCTTTTTAATCTACAAAGATTTCTCACCATTCTTCACTCCATGGAGAAGTGCCTGGGGATTCCATTTGAATACTGGGTGGATTATCTGCTCAAACTTGTTTAAAAGAACTGCCCCCCTCCCTGAACAAGTAATTTTAAAGTGAAAAAGTTCCTTTTCTCAAAAACAGAAGGATCCTAGTTTGACTGGAAAAGGGTCAGATGGACAAGTCAGGCAAACACAAAGAAACCACTTTTCTTAAAATTTCTTCTATTCTCCAAAGTGATTTTGACTTCATTGTTTTGATTTTCAAAGTGACTATTAATAAGGATGGCTAATATTTTACACAACCTACTTATACCAGGTCATTTCACCAAGTAGAGAGAAGTCAAGGCTGAGATTGTTGTACCAGCCTCCCCATACCCCAATTATCCTTTAGATAGAAGGTCCTCTAAAAGGCAGAGAGAATTTTGAATAACTGAGGCTGATGAGAGCATTTGAAAAATGGTATAGTCATCACAATCCACAGTAACTGCTCATGACTTTGGTACTCATCACTATACTCAGTCTTGGTCTTTGGTTGAGACAGAAGAAAGTCTAGATTGGTCTGAATAGACCAAAGCATCTACAAAAGGCACTAGGATGTTCTTGACATACATGTGGCTGCCCAGAGGAAGCTCAGTTTTCTTTACCAGTTAGTCTGCCCTTGGGACTGGTTGATAATATGTGAGAGTCTAATTCACAGTTTCTCACTTCATGACTTTCCTGGATAAGGTTCTATGATGTATAGAGTTGTTACCCTGTTTTGGGAAAGTTATGGGCTCAGTGATGGAAAATTTCATGTATGGTTATCCTAATGCATTTGATGATGGTGCAATGATCAAAAAAGATGCCAGCGATGACAATTGAACGTCCCTTTGCCTTCCCAGCCTCCTTCATATATTCTCAGGCATAGGATGACAAAGGGAAGTCCACGAGTCACATGAAGAAGGACTGTAGCAGCCATGGTACACGGTCGGGAGCTCCTCCGCTTGCCTCCGTCTGCCTCCTCTTAAGCACCCTCCCCGTTTCCTGCTCATGTTGTTTCTCTAGCATCTTAGCCACTAACAAGCATTCTTCCCCACATTATTGCTGATTGATGACTCATTTAAAGCAATGATTAATCAAATCCTGAACAGAGTGAGTACTCAACTAGGTGCTGAATGAAACAATGCTCTCAAGCTTTCAAAGGTAGCCAAATTTTAGGGAACTTCTTGAGTGAGCTAATACCTTGCATGTGAATGGAAAGGGTTTGGGAATCATATCAGTCTAGGTCTATAAACAGGTGCCTGAGTAATTGGATATAAAGTTAAGTGTATAACCTATTTGAGATAACCTTTTATAACTATAAAAAGCCATGTAATTTCTACCTTTGATGGCTTTTCCAAGTATTAAAAGAATCAATATATATGGAAATGTCTTGCATAGTATCTGGAACTTGAATAAATGCTTCCTTCTTTTAGTCATATCTTAGAATATTGCTAAGTTATCCTAGGTGTCTTCAGGGTGACAAGTCAAAAGGAATCACTAAGCTCTGGTTCAGATAGATGTCTTAGAAGAGATGAATAGTAGTCAGGAGAGTGATGTGGTTAGGAATATTTAAAGGAAATGATAGCTTCTATGGTTAATTTTTTTGGTTGGGGTTTAAGAGGAAATTCAAGGTTCTTGTTAATCATACTTACCAATTGGGTCTAATTGGCAACTACCCCAAAATGAATAAAACAAGCGGGAGTCAAGAGAGAAAAACGGCAGGCATCCTGTCAAAAAACAAAAGCTTTGAAATTTCTACAACCCAATGGTCAGATATACATTTTATTAAAGCAGATGGATCACCCAATTTGTGTAAGTCTGTGTGAAACCCACTCTGCACATGCAGAGCTGTGCAAAGTATCCCACAGACTTCTCACAACCAAACACAAGTTTAGTAAGCTCAACATGTCTTCTGCTGGAGGAAGCATATCTTGTCCTTTCCTAGTCTAGGATGCGTATAAGAGGTGATTAAGACACATTCATAGTACGTGTTTGTTCCGGTGCTCAGTGTTGGTGAACCCCAGAAGTGTTGGTTGCTGGTGTGCTAGGTCCAGAAGTGTTGGTTGCTGGTGTCTTAGGTAAAATGACAATTATAACTCTTTGAGTTCTGTGTCTTGTAGTGCAGGACAAGAAGCAGACTCATGTCTGTCTTGTTGCTTCCTTTTAGAAACATTTCTGTGAATTTTTTTTTTTAAAGAGAAACATTCCTTTGTCAAACAATTAGCTACATATGATTTACATTAGCTGGTGGGTCACAGGCATATCACAACAGTGCCATTTACTGAAACTTCTCGTTCTTTTCTTTCTCTCATTGGCTAGTCAGAGATGTGTTCCCAATGCCCCCTCTCTGTGTCTTTAAGAGGGTCACAGCCATTTCAGTATATCAGGTTTCCTACCAAGCTTGCTTTTCTGCCTCCTACCTGGGAGAGACATTCAATGGTTAAGTTAGCCAATGGCTGCTATCAAATGCGGGCCTCCTAAGGGAGCCAGTCTGTATGCTCTAACCCTAGAACAGCATATAAGAGAATTCCAGACCTCAGCTTCTTAGGACTGAGTTAGGCTTCCAAAGAAGCCCCAGTTTGTGGAATTTGCTGGGATTATGAGCTGGGCAGGGATGGATGACTGGTGAGAGGCACTGTGTCTGTTTGCATGGGTCATTACTGAGACATTCCTCAAGTCTACCACCTGATACATCTGTATTGTTAGGGCAGTGAGCACATTGAGAAAGGCACAAAGCAGCAGCCCTTCAAGTCCAGGATAGGGGTCGCTTCCTTTAGATTCTCTATTGCTCATGAAGCAGCAATGCAAAAGTGACAGTGTCACATTTCCCAGAGAGTCCATAGTGTGCTTCTGAGGACACAAATTCAGCTTACAATTGTGTGTGGCACTTGTTAATACTATAAGGAAAGCTTCTAATAGATACACCATTCACTGCCCTCCCCCAGATATTTAATGTAAGTATTATGGATGTAATTGAGCAATACCTAAAATGTATTAAAGTTAAATAAATCTGGCTTTGTTGCATCTTTCCTTCAGAGTGAACCACATGCTGGTATTTTCAGTTTATTCTTTCCCTTGGTATATAAACTCCTCATGAAGAAAACTCTCAAAGGATGTTTTGCTAAAGGGCAGGGCAAAGAGAGGTAGTTTAGTTAAAAACTGGAATGTCAAGGCAAAGGGATGCATTGATCATGGCCCTGGTTGTCTTGCTATTTCCTTCATGACCCCTCCCCCCCCAGTGCACAGCAGAGAGATGATGAGTGAGAAGATGGGGGATAAAGGATTAAAGATTTTGTATCAAAACAAGATTGATTCCACAAGTGCTGTGTTGGCATATGTTGCTAAGGTGCACAGAGAGGTTTATTTATTTCTTAGGGCATTGTCCCAGAGAACCATTCCACAAACTAAGATAGTGACATGCTGCTGAGCCAGGAACAACAGACTGCATGTAGTTTGTGTTCTGGTAGAAGCTCTGTAAAGTCAAGTTACTGTGAATTCAGATAGGACTGATGGCTCTCTCCAAGTGGCTTTTCTACATAGAGAACGAAAGCAGTTAGCTATATGAGATCTACAGATTGTCTATATGTCTTTGTGCATGCAAACACACACACACACACACACACACACACACACAGTACTATTTAGGTTTTGATTCTATATTCTACTTTAGACTCTCCCTAAGACTCTTAGTAAAAGAAGTGCAACATACATGCCTCTCCTTATGAGCTTAATAATTTATATGTTCTAAAAAACTAACTTGAGTTCACATGTTCTCATTCACATTTGCCCCAGAAAATTTTCTTGTGCCATTAGAGGATAAAACTTAGGAGAAATTAAACAAGTTTTGAGTTTATGTACTGCACTAAATTTCTGCCTATTGAAAGTTTCTACCTGCATGGAATGTAAGTGTACTGCCCACATTGTGCCTGTCAAATCTTGCTTGACAGGCTTCCCTATGAATAGTCTATCCAGAAATGTCTTTGTCTTAATTGCCACTGTACTTTGTAACACAAAGGGCATGGAGCACTTGCTGTTCTATAGTGCAGCCTCTGCACACACAGCCAGCTCTTTAGAGCAGGTCAGTACAGTCATGAGCTCAGACACAGACTTCCTGGGTCTGCCACATAGTAGCAGTCTGACCTGTGGTGGCCCATTCCTTGGCCTCTGTGCTTACTAAGGAACAGATCAAGAATGGCTGTTGTAGGGGTTAAGTACGCTATTCCTTGTAAATGATTTAGGGCAGCACTCGATAAACACAAGGTTTTGTTGACATCTTTGGTTGACTAAATTGTTCAAGCACAAAGTCTTATGCCTTGTGTGCTTATGTGCCTTGCAGCTTCTACAGTGCTTAATGTAGTATAGGCACTTGAACAAATCTGTAAAAAACAAAACCAAAAAAAGTAGCATTGTCATAGGAAAATGGAATGGTGCAAGCACCATTTGTTTTAAGTGACAGGAGCTTTTGTCACATGTTTAAAAAGTGAAGAAATTAAATGAATATTTTGCCTGCATAGGAATCATCTTAAAATTATAGTGATATTAAGAGTATATTGGAGACACTGTGCTACAGTGAACATATGGACAATATTCAATATGAAACAGCTGTTGAATGAGCTGCAACTTAATGAGGAGAAGGGAGCTGGACTTTGGTAGTACCCAGGAGCATAATGAAAGAGAAATGACTACTGGTTGGACTGCCATATTCTCCTCTTTGTAGGGACACAGATGTAGGGTGTTTCTAGTTTCCCCACTGCAACAGGACATCTATTTATAGTTTAGTACTGGGAATGTGTTTAAACTGCATTTTAATCTGAAAACTCCAAAGCAGGAATATGACTTGTGTTCTGCTTTTAGTTATTATTAAATACAAGCAAGAAATTAGTTACACAGACCCCCTAATTTTTATAAAACTTTCATATGTGACTTAAGAATATTGCTTGTGTGACTGTAGCCAGCCTCTCTTCCCTTGTTTCCTGACTGGACCCTTTGCTGAGTCTTTACTCCTAAGATAAAACCAAGACTGCATGGTTCAGGGAAGAAGTATTTGAATGCAGTGATACAGGTTGACTTTACTGGTCAGGTATGATGGGGGTCAACCTTGAGCTGGGGTAGGAAAACAAAGAAATGAGAGCTAAAGGATCCAACAGTTGAAAGAACAATTAAAAAAATAACACACAACATAAGAACTTCAGTAGACAGTGGTGTGCTATTTTTGGAATTTTTGCCAAATGAGTAGGTTATGGCTGTGTATCATAGGGAGGAGATGGGGAACTATGTGAGATAGTTTTACTATAGATATGCCTTTTAATTCTACTTTGTAGACCTTAGTTATACATAATACCTATTTTAAGGCATGGTATGCATATGTGCAGGGAAGGAAGGTGTCAAAGTCCTGTGTGACAGGGATAGGAAGACTACTTTCAAAGGCTGGTTCATATTCTCTTTGGCAAAAATTGTCTCTGTTTGCTGTAAAATTCAATACCAAGATGGCTATATTTATGCCAACTTGACACAAGCTAGAGTCACCTGAAAGGAGGAAACCTCAACTGAGAAAATGCTTTCATGAGATCCAGCTGGAGGGCATTTTCTTAATTAATGATTGATGGGGGAGGGCCCAGCCCATTGTGGATGTTAGCATCCCTGGGCTGGTGATCTGGGTTCTCTAAGAAATTAGGTTGAACAAAACATGAGGTGCAAGCCAGTAAGCAGCATCCCTTTGTGGACCCTGCATCAGTTCCTAACTCCAGGTTCCTGCTCTATTGAGTTCCTATCCTGACTTCCTTTAAGTGATATGGAATCTAAGCAAAACACCTTCCTCTCCAAGTTGCTTTGGTCATTGGTTTTTCAACATAGCACTAAAAATCCTAACTTAGACATACACCAGAAAGTCTTAAAGTCAAAATGTATAGGTATCTCTTCCTGTCTTTTGTCTCCCACCTGGTTCACTATAAGAACTATTTACCTAGGCACCTTAGTATCCTAGAATACTTAGGGCTATTATATAAGCATATGAGTATAAAGTGTCAATATGTGATTCTAGTAAGCAAACAATTACATTATAGAATATATTTTTGACTTAAAAGATAATTTTAGATACCGTAAAAGATACCTGTAAGTATCTTTTATATGAGTTCAAGCAGAATTATTTTATTATCTACAGTAAGTTGAGTACTTCATTATATGTCTTTATAAGTTTTTGAACTATTGAGTAATAGATTATTTCTGTTTCGTTACTGTGAGCAATATTATAGTAAATATATAAATTCCTAGTAGTAAAATTGTAGACACAAAGGGTTTGTATATTTAAAAGAGATGGCAGAGTATTTGCTAAATAGGTTTCCATATTTACACACATAACAAAAGTGGTATCAATTCATATCTATATGGCATTTATTGACATTGGATTATCTTGACCTTTGATTTTGACAGTTTGATTGATAAAACTTTTTTATTGTTGAATGATGTTAAATCTTTATTTTCTTCCCTTGACCTTCGTATGGCTATGGCTATGTTTTGCTCAATTTCCAATAGGTTGTTACACATTTTTGTTTTTGATTTATAAATAATATGCATATCATGGAAGTTGGCTCTTTGTCATGGTAGTGAATATAGTCTTCATTTGACTGGTTTTTAAATTATTTGTGTGTGTGTGTGTGTGTGTGTGTGTGTGTGTGTGTGTGTGTGTGTATGTGTTTTCTAATGGGATTTCTAAGCATTTGTTTTCTGT